TAACTAATTTTTTTTTTAAATATGGGGGAAAATAAATAAATACAATTGTGGTTTTGAATCAATAATTTTAAACAGACAAAAAGTCTATTCTAATCAGAACTCCGTCTCCAAAACAGGGCACGCCATAAGAGGAATCTGATACTTGGCTATTACACGGAAATCTGCAGCATATCTTTAAGCCACAAGAATAAATGGTATTTGAAACCGATGCTTGATGAAGTCCGTCTGCTTAGCGTCTCAGTTTACCTGAGAGATGGAAGTCTCAGAGACAATGGGGATAGCATATCCAGGTGTGCGTTGTCTGGTGTTGGAAGCAAGGTAGAGTTTCTACGACGTCGCGTGGCGCTATGCTGCTCCCGAGAACCGCAAGCCCCAGAGGGATTTTAATACATGGTATCCCATGAGTTCATCTTAACTGGACAATTATGTGGTTTTCTTGTCATTAGCGGAGAAACCACAACGACTTCAGCTCAGTTTGAGACATTTAGACTTCTTTTTCAAAGTATTGAATTAATGTGATATTCATCAACGCTACAGGACGCTTGAACAAACTAATGGCACTGTGATATTGCAGAATGGAAAATATGATCTGGTTATTGTATCAGAAAAAATAATGACCGATTCTTTTACTCCACTAGATAATTAAGATTAGGAAAGAATAGTTAGTACCAGATTAGTATGTCCTATATTCAGATCAGTATTTAGTATTTTGCCCAACAAGCAAATGTTAATACAACGTTTAAATACATGTACTTCATGCTTACAAACTTTCCGTGTTGATTTGATCACATTTATAGAACCAAATCTTGAGCTTGTTACGTTTGAACATGGCCACAACATTAACCTTCCGCGAATATTTACAGGACGTTCCAAAATACACAGACAAAAGTTAAACGTTTCAGATTCAGGATATCGTATCTCTGGGCTGTGAAGGAGTTAAGAACGAAAACGAAATGTTCCAACATAAGGTGATGAAGACGTTCTCTTCGTTTTTCGTATATGGTGTTAAGTTTCGGTAAAGATTCTTATACTGTTGTCAGGCATGCAGAACTCTTGTTTGACAATGGTATATGAATCTGTACCGAAATATTGCACTATCATGTAATAAAGAAGTCATCCACAAAATATCTTTCCTTCAGTGTTACTAAGCAACTTCTATAACGCCAATGAAAGAGATGATACCACGTGTTCGCAAAAGGTGAGCGATTCCTGCCCAAAACGTTGGCACCAGTCATAAACATATGCAAAGTTTAGTCATTATTCGCCTGAACAAAATCATGAATGTGTGGTGCAAATCAAACAAGGGAATTGCATCGTAGATAATTTTTGTCACCCAAATTTTGAAATTACCTCCACATGTACCGATGAGTGTTGCTTGTATACTATACTGTTTTACGTGTACAAAGCTCAAAGAAATGTAATGACAATGGGCAAAGTATTATCACTGACAATATTTCAAATGCAGAAAGCATAATGAACGGGATAGTTATTCAATAAAGTGGTCCTGTAAAAACGCTACAGGACAGAGAGGTAAATAGTTTCCAGCAGGCTTAGCAGAGTTTTTCTTTTGTAACTAATGTTTCATATTTCATTGAAACCTTAACCATGAGTGGAGACTATATACCAAACATTGTTTGAAAGGCATTTTAACATGTCGCAAACAAGAGTAACGACAATATAATGGTCAAGGTATTATCCTTGACTATATGTAAAGCGCACTGAGCATATGATTGAGCTAGTTAAAGGATTATAGGGAGGTGATAATTACAACAAACATTCCCTTGGTATTTTAAAACATATTGACCAGTGATGACAATGAACGAGTAGGCGTGTAATGATATACCCGACTGGACATGCATGATAGATAGGTCCATTATATTATCATATTGCTCCGATACACATCTAAATCTCTATTTTGAGTGTCAGCACGTGCCATCGCTGTATCTTCGGATGCCGGACGCTGAAGGGACAGGACAGGAGGTGATTATCTGCGCCCAGATGTTTTGTTAGTAAAATATTAGAAAAGTATAGGACGGAGAACATATCCCTGTTGGACACCTGCTTTCAGAGAGGCATGTTTGACACTGACCGATTCTCTCTTGATTGTCTTCACTGATCTGCCCGGGTCATCCCTGTAATGCGTGGTCAAGCAGGGAGATGTAGCTTATTTCATTATTTTCGTCTAATTTCCGACGTCCTGTAATGATGAAGTACGCCACACGTTAGGGCAGATGCACTCTTGCGCCTCTGTTTGAAATGGAATTGGTATTAAAGAGATGGGGCATTGTAATAATAGACAAGAAAACCACACCATAAAGCTCAATTCATAAAAAGATAATCAGCGACCGAGGTGACCGACCCCACCAGTGACCTTAGACAGTTGTCCGATGGCCCCTGACCCCCTCTGGACTGACCCCCGACCCCACGCGCTCTGGTGCCTGACCCTGACAAAACTGACCATGCCCCCAGCAATGCCCAACAGGGATGACCACATGTCCAGCCCTGTGGCCGAAGTGTGGGTGGACCAGGCTTTGTCACTGCTAACGCTTAAACCTGCTTTAATTGCAAAAATCATGGGCATGTTTAATCACCCATACAAGCAGGAATTCAAGCTAAATTGACTATGAAAACTGCGTTTAATAAGCGTTGTCATTTCTTTTTGCTATCGATTCCTATTTCAAAGAAAATCACCGATAATAAAAACATCAAACAGAACCGTTGGTATAGAAGATAAATGCGTTCAAAGGGTCCCTAGCGTTGCCAGATATGGACAACGGTGAATATTTGGCACATTCTAGGCATGTCTAAACGGTTTGTTTGTTTGTTTTCTTGGCTTTTCTTTGTTTATTTGTGCTCAATGGTGTTTTTTGTATAAATACTCATGAATAAAATACGAAAAGATCTTCACACGAAAACGTCTTCATAATATTACAAGATGGTCTTTCTGAGTAGATTGCTTGTGGTGCAAGAAGTCACACTGTACAACATTTCCGCGTTGTACAGGTCTTCGATCGCTGGATTATGTCAAGAATATGGATGATGCCTGTATCTAATCCATAAAACATTTCCAACATAATCGAAATATTTGGACAAAACAATTGCTATCCTGATTTATCAATTGTATCTGTTTTTTAACACTTCAGAGCATCTACCAAAGCATTTAGAAGTGAGAAGACAAATGTTGTATCATTATCAAAGCCTACGTAGAATGCTAGAATTGTTTAGAAAGATAGTACATACATGACATTCCTAAATTTTAACCCTGGTTAAGGGAGTGATGGGGAAACTTAGCAGCAGTTAAAGGTTGAACCTAAATTTATATTATGTAACATGAAATATTAGTTTAGGATGTTTTAGCTGATCTTACTTTCACATATGCGTGATGAATTTTATTTTGGGGTCTTTACCCAGACAGCTGATTACGTTTCTTATTTTTAGAGATTGATAAACACATATTTTTCCTTGGAATGGTAAAGGTTACTCTTCTTTTGGATGACATTTCTTATTATTTAGAAATGGAGTACTTAGTTGTCGCTTTTAGTTACATGCATATGAATAAATACAAATTATGCATGATAGGGTATATATCAAAACTGAAAAATTCCCATATTGTTTCAGTAGTTTCTGGAACATTTTTGTTTTCACAAGAACCTCATCTGTCCACCAAGAATGTAAATTGTCGCTACAAGCAAGTAGCACAGCTGAAAGTATGGCCGCCACCCAGAGTCGTTAATAACACCACGCTTTGAGAATCTTGGGGATATGCCTCAAATAATTCTCGTTTAAACATTGGCAACAATAAAATGTCAAATTTACCCCTAAAGTGAAGATTTTAGAGCCCATTCCATCCTCTCTGTCGGCTTACACGCGGTCAATTTGACAATTTCACGACTCCCATCTCCCAGAATAGTTTATGGCACGGATCTTCATAAATCGAAGCATCTATTTATTTAACAGAACAAATATTCCGTCAGCAGATGAAATCGCAAAATTTGGCCTTAAATCGGGAATTGTGGGGCACCGATAAAATTCCTATAATCGTTCAATGACCAGCGGTCATTGTGTGTCGAGTGGACATGTTATTGTTGGCAAGTGTCGATAAACGGAGATAAGCCGAATCCAAGATGGCCGTCCCAAATCCGAAATGTTATCGCCAAATTAATGTCTTGTAAATCGCATGGATTAAGGATGGTCTTCCAACATCTGTCATAGAACACCCTGTTCAGCTTGTTATACTTGTAATAAAAAACATCAACAATGGTTCTCTCGACAGATTAAGAAACAACTTGAGATACAGACATAAACATACTTCAAGGCTGTGTGATGAAGGAGTGCCATTGATTTGAATATTTGACCATATGTTACTTTACTTCAGTCAGCAATATCCCGTTCACATCTTTGATCATGATTCTTGGCAAAGAAAGACCCATCACTATTGCACCGCCAAGTGATAACAAGGTATATTAAATGATAACAAGATCAGCAAAATGACAAGAACATTTGCTAAATGACAATAAGATCTACGAAAATGATACAACGATTTACAAACTGAACGGATTGAGAGGCATTCTAGAATTTGTAAGTAATAGGAATGGCATGTCTTTGTGGATCATCAACTTCTTTATTGTACAATAGGGACGTTTCGGTATAGATACTTATACCGTTTTCAAACATGAACATAAAGAATGCTATACCGAAACGTCGCTATTGTACACAAAAGAAGTTGATCATACATGAAGCCTTGTCATTCCGATTTAAAAACTGACAAGAATAACTAAAACATTACAATGTGTACAAATGACAATAAGATCCACAAAATGACGACAACTAAACCAAATGACAAGAAGATCTTCAAAATGAAAAGATCTATTTAATGGCAAGAACTTCTAAGGACTGGCAAAGAGATCTACTAAAGGATAAAAAAATATATAGACTGATAATAACGCACACAAAACAACAATGACATATACGAAATGATTAAATGAATTTGTTTATTTCAGGAATGGGGCTACCAGAGCATTTTATTTAAATCCACAATGCTTGTTCTCATCAGACAACCATGCCTGATCAAATTGGTGCATATACAGTCAAGTGTATTTGACGGTAAGAACCACGTTGCCATTGAGTTCCTTTCCACATGGAAATGGTCGTATATTGCTAAAGTAAAGGTAACCATAATACAAAATGTTGCTTAGACAAACCATGTCAACACGGTAGGACAATTCTCAAAGGGAACTGATTACAACAGTAGTATGATTATTATCTTAAGGGAATTCAAGACATTCACATCCAACTTCACGGACAACGAGAATAGATCTAATCTTTGATTGAATGAACGTATTGTACCTTTTTACTAACTGGGGACAATAACCTGTGTATCGAAGCTGGTAGTCTGTAGCTGAAGACTGTTCTGGGCTCAATATTAATTTTTATGGTGGACATATATTTTTAAATGAGATCACTTTAATTTTGAGACTAAATGTCAATATAGGAAGTTGGGTTGAAGCTATCCTATCCGAGATGCTTGAATATCAACATTAAGACAAAACATATAACAGATTTGATATACCGCCCACACATACAAATAGCTGAATTTTTTTATGGATGCGGCATCCAAGGATATACATGACAAAAAATAGATTGCTCCGATTGAGATATATATGGCCATAGGAAGTTAGATATTCGTATAACACGGTACTAACAAAATACACGTGGACGAAAAATCCTATCAGCCTTGGTTCAAATACCATAATTAAAATAATGACCAGATGTTGAGTTTTAATTGACATTAACAATCGCCCGGGATCCTAATCCCTAAAGACCTTCTTGGTCTCAACCGTGGATCAGGTTTCCTAGTCTATACCGGATCACAGCGGAGAAAAGCATCTATGAGAGATATTCCTTCATTTACCCATGAGTGATTGATATAAAAAGTGATAAATCATTGTCCGTTTTAGTTCACGGTGACAGGATTTACAAGATACCGGACAGTAAACAATACCCAAATCCTTATTAATGTCGTTTTTTATTGCTTCTTTTAGTACTACCCTTCGGGTTCTCGACATGAAGTGATCTCGCTTCGGGCAGTATTTTAACGACCATTCGGTGTGATTTGCTATGCAGTGTCTTAGATATTGACATCATGTCGAAACAACCTTTCATACGAAGGATGTAAATATTTATGTTTGTAGGAACACGATGACTGTGGTGTTGTCAAGATGAAGGCTGTGGACTGTGATGAGAGACGACATAGTGTCTCCATGAATTAAATGAGAAAGCATGGTAAATCCATCTTGCAGCGATGCATCAGATGTCATCTGACGTTGAAGATGAAAAACCTGGCTTAGCTCTATCGCATCTTTAGATTGTTTTATATTCACGATGACTTTTTTCATCAAATGTTCTTTTTGCACGCCACCTGAAAACTATTGTTTTGTTTGTTTAAACGACGCTTTGTTAAACCTTTCAGTTAAAATCATGACGAGAGGCAAGCCTTTGATGTTGTTGACCAGATCGGTGAAAGGCGCGGTCATGGTGCTGAGAAACCAAGCAATATAACAAGAGATCTAGCTTTCGAACCCAGTGTCTGCAGCGCGATATAGCAGTTTCTGGGCGCCTAAAACCATTGGGCCACTCGCAGGCATCCGACCCCCATCCGCTAAAAACATTGTTTTCATTTTTACGCTCGATCCTCGTGATCAATTATCTGACATCTACAACCCTGCCCCCCCCTCAACCAACACACAACAATATAAGTAACAGCCGTCCAACCACGGATTACATGAAACTGAAATACATTCCTGTTTCCGAATGTCTCGCTGACAGTGTACAATTATGCCATTATTATGATTGTACCCATGTTCAGGTTCCTCAGATTACCTAACCACAATCTAACCCTCTGCAACAGCCCTCATGACAAGCATGAGCGTCTTCATCCTTCCCATCAACTCTACTCGCTTCTCCACGTAGCCTCAGGTAACGTGCCCTTCCTATGAAACGTATCTGTTAGTTCTATTATACCCGGCGGCCACGGTCTCGCAGAAAACACGTCCCCCTCTCAATCCCACCTCACCCCACCCTAATCTCCACCCAGCCCACCCCACCCATTAACCATTACCTACAGAGATAGACTCCGAACCCCTTTCCGCCCTAATCCACAATCTTTCTCTCTTCTTTCTGCCATTCAGACAACCGCTCCATTAAAAAACCTCAGAAAAATGGAATATTCCGGTTCTTTCAAAAGGTCAAAAGTAAAAGAAAATTAAAGGCCTCTTTATTGTTTATTGCTATCAAAGAGTGTCATTATTCCAACTGAAAATTGCAAATTCCATGTTCAAAACGTCCAGAATGCACTGCGACTTTATGTAAAAGTGGTACCTTAATGCAGATGCTGTAGGAGATGTTTGAAGTGGGATTATATTACAGTATTGCATGATTTGATCGCTGACATGTCGGAAACCGGGTTTCATTCCATGATCCAACCCTCTAAGACTCTACTTTTTTCCCATTTCAATTCCTTTTGATTTTTAGAAGTCCTCAAACTTACGATAATTAATACAAAATCAGAATATCGTTCTCAGAAATGTGAAATACGCAATATTGAAATAAATCATTTGATGAAAGTATTTTTTAACTCCATCTTTTGAATGAAGCAATTTCATGACATAACCACGGGTATATTCATCAACGGGTCACGCCCACCTTTAAAGTACATTTGACCCTTTCGTTTCGTTTGAAGTACAAAATAAGGCTCAATTCAGGTTTGTGTGGAATAACATCAGTAACACATGGTACAATAGGGCTTGTCTTTCTGATTTCAGACAGGAATTTATTGAAAATGTTACGTAAGAATCTCTTGACCGGATAACATGTTATCAATTTGTTTAACAACAAATCATTCCACACAAACCGGAAGAGCGTTTTAAAATTCAATGACCCTTAACAAATTGTTCCAATAAAATCCTAAATTTCAAATCAATCAATGCCCTTCTTCTATTCAGTATTTTCTTTAAAAAGCCCACTTCTTGTTGTATTGACCACTCCAGTGACCATCATTGGGTTGGAGCACAGTTCACGTCGGTCGCGACACGCAGACCAAAGGCTCTCGTTGTTGGTTCACACCCGACACTAGAAAAACCGATTGCAATGTTCTTTTCACTGCTTAACGTTTGCCCAGCACACCCGGAACAAAAGCCCTTTAATTCGGGTAGATAGGTCGGGAAATATCGTGACCCCTCTGTGACTTATTGGTCAAAGGACAAGGGCCAGTGTGACCCGACGCACGTTTTTTGCACGCTTTGTGTGGTCAAGTCGCCCTGGACACTGGTCAAAAAGCGATAAAGCCCTCACGGTCACTCGGTGGTCAAGCAAAACATTGATAAAGAGATAAGTGTACGTGCAGTCCATTTCAATGGAAACTTGTATCAGATTAAGATGGACCTTCCATGCCAAATGGCAATAAAAGGACTTTAAAATTAGACTGACATTTTTATGAGTCTACCAACGCATTCGCCATAGTATTCTTGATCAGTAAAACACATAGCACAACATATCCTTCATAATGCGTGACAGTAGGATTAACGATAATCCCAACAAAGCATCATTCTGGATTATTAACTTTCTCAGACATTCCATAGAAATGAAGGCCATTAGGTATTCATGATTTACTGAGATAATACACCCGATCTCAGCCCTGATATTGGCATTTTGCATGAAGACCTTCATATACCTTATGTTAATTACACCATAATGACAACACGTTTCATGAATACCAATATATCCTTGTTATGTCCTTTTAATATTACATGTTTCACCTTTATCAAACAACCGTTGCCAATACATATAATGCTGCTTGAACATCTGATGTAATTATTCAACATCGTAAAACTTTATCTGATTAATTTTCGTATGAAATGTATCTGAAAAACATCACCGGAAACAAGTTAAGTTTATCATGAAAATTGATGTCCAACTAATTATCGAAGTGAATGTATCCGCATAATAGTCTGAAAATAAATAAGGTAAATTGGTGATGTTTGTTGGCCTGTGCTGTCAGTACAATTACGCAGTTTAAGAAGATAAGAAAGGTTGACTTTAAAATATGCAAAGAAAGATTTATTATCCTACGCTGTGGTTATCTAATTTTCTTAGCAATTATTTTTGAGGATGTTTTGTTATTACTAAACCATATCCCCTATTGTGAGATTTCTTCCATGGTTGTACATTTTATTACCAGCATGGCCGATGAAAAAACACGTGATGGACGTTTGACCGACTGACCACTCGGCCCAATTACAAGGTACTAGAAACCGCACCGGCGATTAAGGCACGCTTTGAGCCTCTGGACACAAAATTATTTTCAAGAAATTAACCATTTGGAACTGACAGGTCATCGCTGTACTAAATTATACCCAGGAAAGACGGGTAGTTGAAAATGTTAAATCACCCATCCGGAAAAGGATCAAAAACGTTTTTCGGGAAACCCCCGAGAGGTTGATTATTACCGGAATTGCATTCCAGATTAAAACGAAATGACACTTGACATATTTAATCACCCTCGTGGCCTTTGGAATGCGGGCGATGGGTCAAGAAGACAACTAATACTTTTTCGGATGACTGCGAAGCATTGATTCAAACTTAGGGCCTAGTGCATGCCACTTTATCATTGGCCATTGATATAAAACTCAAATGCGGGTACGTTTAAAGTTCAACGAAAGCATCTTTGACATTAAAAAATTAACATGGGATTATGGTTCAATTACATCAGACGATCCTCACTTCCTATGTCAAGAATTTTATGTGTATTAACAAAAGAACCTTCTGAAACTGTTCATTTTGCTAGGGATATCCCTAAATAAATTGGTTTATTTTTGTTTTGGGATGTTGACTTTTTTCGGAAAGTATTTGATCATGTCATAGAGATGAAAGCGACAAAAACCATTTCCGAACTTATAAGGTACCTCCGTTTAGGATTACGACTATTTCATAAGCGTGTGTTCACGAATCTCTGTCAATCAGTACGTGGTGTTCGCAACAATGTTGACGTGTCCTGCTCCACCGTTGACACAAGGCAATATATCGCACATGGTCTTGTTGTTTGTTTTTTATGTTTAATTTTATTATTTTTGTCACTGATACGTCGAAGTATGACATGACCTCCACATACCTACCATAATATCTGACTACGGCTTTGAATTCTGTAGTCAAGTAGCCATCGAGCAAGAGTTGAATGGTGCTCGTTGAAATTTCGTGTAAAGACCCTGCATGTTTTGACTTCAAATGTAGAAACCAAAGTCCGGAACTGCTGGAATATTGCTCGACACATATTCAAGTCTACACGTCAGACCACACCCAGGTTCGAACTGATAAACATAAAGTATAAGCACAACACTAACTGTTGTCGTGGGTGACCCACAAACGTACCGCAGTTCTCCACCAACAGATGTGTGGTAGATGGTCATTTGAACAACCCCAACAAAGATTTGTCCATTGTTGATGACACTGTCTCAAGATGCCAAAACGTCTTAACATTGCGCTGTCGATAGCATTACAATATTATGATCTTGTTTACTAAAATGACTTTTAATAGAAATTCATATCTGAAACGCGTTACATCTTCAGGATTCTGTTCCAAAGAGCAAATAATACTCTGCCATCACATTCGTCAATACATAAACTGGTAGTGTGTTATCTTGCTTTTCATGTTTCTGCTTTTATATTATGCAACTGATATCTAATTTCAAACATGCATTTTCGTGTTCAGTGTCTCCATATAGAAATATTTTGTGCTCTTTCTGATCTTCGCATCAAAGACATATCAAAACCATACGGACACAGATCTGCCAAAACCATTGTCACTACGTAACATACGGCCCGAGATAAGAAGTATTATTATTTTTCTTTTTAGATTTTGTTTATTTGTAATATAGTATTCATTTACATTATTTTGATCATTCCAGAATTCCTTGTTCCAATACAAAACTACATACTATAATACAATCTCTGTCCATCTCTTCATCAAAGGCCGATGAAAACCCACACTGACACACATCACAATGATGCCACCCTACAGTGTCCACTCAACCAAGCACATAGTCTAAGTGTACACGTGTGGGGCGACCTGGTCACATGCCTACTGACATATCTTGACCTACGGCTAGCCGGCGGTCATTAAGAAGAGGCAGGGGGTAGGTTAACTTGACCCCAGCACGCTTACATCTTCATAATTCCTCGACCGTGCAGGGCATTTTTTTGTCATCATCAAAGCCAACAAGAAATGGAGACATCTGCCCGTTGACCCTTTCATGACCAGAAAAAATAACCCCTTGAAAACACAATAGTAGTAGTAACGTGGTTATAGGGGCTCGTGGTTCTCGTGATTGACTCGCTAAGCGGGCTGCACTCGAGACATGGATATTTAGTACTGCTCGTAGACAAACGGGGATGTAGAATGTATGAATTATGATCCATAACTTGCTGATTAGTGTGCGTTTATCATGGTGGTTTGTCTTGTCGACAATGGAAGGGTGTTTTGATAACGGATTAATTATCATCATGAATTTTGATACCCAAGATCGGTGATTTATGTTCGAGGAGTTTCATAGCGCACAGTCTGTATGTATACAGGCTCCGTCTGCTGTTACGGCCATCTCAGATGAAATTACACGCTCACGAAATATTTCTTTTCTGCGCCATTAAACATTTATTTTCATTTTGAATGATGATGAATAAGATCCTACGGGTCATGATTAGACCAACGTCTCTGAATATATATAATTTTGATAATAACAAATAAACCCATTTAAATATAAGGGTCCCCACTGAGGAAATCTAGACGTACTTCAGTTAGAGCTTTAGCATTGCATGGAGGGCTGGGCAGTTGGGAAAATACTATAGTTCAGCGACTGTGAGACAGACTAGGTCAAGATATATGCCCATATTTCGTATTGCTTCTAAATTGTATTCGTTTTTCCTTTTTCGTTGCAGAAGAAATTGTGCACCTTGGTTGTGGCGTTGCTCATGATATCATCCATTGGTTCGCCTGACCAAGAACCGATGTTTTTGTAGGTCGCAGTGATATAGGTGGAATATTGGTGACTTTGACAAACAACCCTTACTCATGGACCAATAACAGTAACTCTACGACGCAGATGCAGTTGGCCAAGGTCGTCCACTGGGCTTCCGGGCTAATTACGTACACCTACTTCCATGTTCAAGAGACAAATAAGCGTCTTCTGTTACTTTTAAACATTGTTTCTATGTAATTATGAATATTGCTTTTGTATAATTGATTTCGAAAATACACACGTTGTGATCAGTGAAGATAAATGAATGACCGGTTCAAAACATGACCCCCATTGTATGAAAAACCGTTTCCCTGTCCTTGTATAATTATAATATTTGGAAAAAATATAATATATAATTGTATTTGTACTATCAGAGACGGATCTGTGGCGACTATCCTTGTATGGTAATGTCTGCCATGAATTATCAGAGCCTGATACTGAAAACGAAATAAGAATTTATACAATAGGTTTGAATATGTGACAAGCTAAATATACTCATATATCATGCCCAGATCAGTTCCTCTCTTATCTTATCCTCTCTGATCTTGTGTTTGAGAAAGATTGATACATGACCTTTCCCCAGACCAGACACGTCTTACCGGATGCTATAAACAACTTCATTATTCCCGTCACTTCATCAAACCCTGACTTGTCTACCCTCAATGGGATAGCTCTTGCTATGTTTATTCTCAGTGAAAGATTGGAGTTTGTTTGGGTGAATTACACTTCTTAAGCCACCACCACTGACAATCCCAAACGACCTTTTGACCCTCTCGACACCAAATTCTCATTTTTCTAAAGAATTTTGCTTTCTTCAAGCTTCAAATAATCCCATTTAACCCCAGCGTTCTCCCCCCTATTGGAGCGACTCCCCCTTTCGCGTGAATGATCCAAGCGCCAGTATAACAATAAACCGATGATAAGCTCGAAGCTGTTCTACAAGAGGCCCCGCAATTTATTGTCATCTCAGCCGGGAACATTTCCATTCTTTAAAAGCATAATTTTCAAGAAGATAGCGTTGATAACTAGCCTATTGGGGGGTGCTAGGAGTCGAACAATAGACAACCGCATTACGACATAGGGTGTTCTCGACCGTAAGGAGCGAAAGCCTAAATTCCCTCATTCCAAACTTAGCAGGGCGAAGTCCTCAATTCGTCCTATTGTTGCCATTCACGTTTTGGCCCTACCCCCAGCATGGTTCTATTGGAATTGAAAAGAACAAGCCACGGTCACGATCAAGATTTGATTTAGCATGCACAGTGATTGTTGAAAAAGCCATCCTTTCAAGTGCCGTGGTCGCGTTAGTGGATGACGTATAGGTGCTGGGTGGTTTGTCTGCATAATGTACAGCCTGTGACGTCTTCCATATCGTCAAGTGGTGTTGGCCGTAATCCGGTCTGTATCCGCGTTGCTATTGTCGTTATCGTTTCCGACAAGTAAGACAATGCGCAGGTGTGGAATTTAGTGCCGGTAACACCGAAATGACCACTTGTGTATGGTTGATTCTTGAATAACACAATAGAAGCGCCGATTTCCCACCGTCACACGTGGGATATTTACGACATGTAATTAGTTTCACACCCAGATCCAACGTTACATTTTCGAGGAAACGTCTTTTTCAAATTCGGATGAGGATCCGCACTGACGGATTATATAATTATCCGGGCTGTGATTTATTGCCTCTGCCCCTACCGTGCCATACCCCCCTGCACCAACTTTAACCCCTGTATTAGCCCAACTTTAGCCCACTATTCCCCTACCCTTATCTTGCCCCCCTGTACTATATCTACGAGGTTCCCTACCCTTATCTTGCCCCCTGTATACATCCACGACGTACCCTACCACTTGTTGTCTTACATTCTGTAAACATCACCCAACTCATATTTTAGGCCAAGTCTCCATACTCATATTCCTTCTTCCATAGAACCAGCAGCCCTCCTGTTCAAGGCACCCGGCCCTTAAGAG